GRWKGRMWTTYMRGKTYCYTYCCACCCACACCATTCTGGGATTCTGGGATTCCATGATCTATTGGAGCTGTGCAAATGAACCTCCCCAGAAAGTCTTAACTACAGGGAAATAATCTTCCTTTCTGTGCGCATGTATAAGCCATTGAGCTTTATTTAGATGACACAGAAATTGTTAGAAATTGGACTGGATTGGATTTGGTAGGTTTTGCAGGAAGAGCAGAACGTTACACAGCTCTGCCACGCATGGTTCTGATCTGATCTCCCTGGGAATCTGTTRGGAGTTAGCTGGGGAGCTGATGGCTTCCAGAGTGGCTGCTTACCCAATGTGCTGCTTCTTATTTTTATTTTTCACTGCAAACTTCCCCATTTGTTGCTGTTTCCAAGCAGGAGCTGGGGCACCGTGCCCTTGGATGCAAACTGGGTGGATAAATTCCTGAAAGGCAGCTCRGGGCAGGCTCTGCTGGGTGTTTTGYACACTCCAGGGGCTGCACTGATGGGAATTCACCCAAGGAAGAGGAAACAGTCCCCAGCTTTGTTCTGTTTCTTTGGTTCATCGTGTCTTTGTGCATGTTTAGGGCTGTGCCTCTCTGTCCTTGTCACAGCACGGGCTCCCTGAAAGGTTACTGGGAGGTTTGTGAGAGCCATTCTGAGTCACACAAATAAGGAAGATTCAACATAAATGATACTGAGAGGGATTTGGCCTGCTGAGTGTTTAAGATGTGGTTCTTGCAGCATTGAGCTCTGTATCTGTATTACAAAGTGTGGATTCTTTCTGTTGTTTTGCATGTTTTGCAATAGGCTTTATTTTCATTACCAGAGAACATTTTTTACATAAACATTTGAATACATTTTCCTCTATTCAGCAGTTTTCAGTACAAGTTTCTATTTGTATTACCCTTCTCCTTATTAGTTTGCTCATTTTTATCATGGTTTTAATTGAGATGTGCCTCCATGGGTGTGGGATTTTCTGCTCACCAACTCCCACTGACTTTGGTGGGAATTCTCTCTAGAGAAGACTTGCAGAAACCACTTGTATAATTAAATCCATCTATTCCCTCATGAAAAACGCCTGTCCATGCTCAGTGAGCMTGAAAACTTCTGAAAACAAATTGAGTGAAAGAGGAAATGGCATTGAAAGAGACCACCCAAAACACTAGAACCAAACCAAGCATCATCCCTCTCCCTTTCCTTTGTTCCACAATTTGTGTCCATACTCCCACATTGATTGAGGAAGAAGAAAAAAGCASCACAATTTTTAATTATTGGCAGAGACATTTTGTAACAATTTGAAAAAGATCAGAAAGAGCTGTTTGGGAAAATATTTGCCACAGCAGCCTGTGAGGATGGGCAGAGGGTTCTGCTGYTTGCTGTCCATCCACACTGACCTGAGTCTGTTTTCACAGTTCCTGCTGTCAGGATTGTTCTCAGTGTTGTGCTTCACATCTGCTTGGCAGCTGAAGCCAAAGCTTCTCCTTTTTCTGTAGGATTCCAACAGGCCATGCCAGGATGAAGGACAGGAAACGAAAGTTGGATTATTTAGCTTTGGGAAAAGGTGCAGGACAATGCATTGCTGAGGAATGCCCAGTGAAGRGACCAGAGGGGAATTGGGGTAAAATCATAAATTTCAGAACAGGAATGACAGATTTGGCTTCTGGGAAGATACAYCAGAGAACTTTAAAGGATTGTCTTGGGAACTGTTCCCTTCAGAGACAAGGTCACCTCACTTATTTGCTGTTGCATTCTGAGAGCAAATCTTGGTTTTTCTTTCACTTTTAGATCTGTTGCATTGATTTGTCATTGCATTTTTTTCCCATGTAGTTTATGGTGCTTTCTTTTTGGTAGAAACTTTGATTTCAAATAATTCTTAGGCTTTCTGGAAAGGCAGCTCTTGCTCATGAGCACATTTGGATGTAGCCAGAGCTGCTGTGGCTGCCCCATCCCTGAAGTGTTGCAGGGCAGCTCAGATGGGGCTGGGARCACCCTGGAACAGTGGAGGGGATCTGGGACTGGATGAGCTTTAAGGTCTCTCCCAACCCAGCCCATTCCATGATTCTGTGATGTGTTCATGGAGAYAAAAATCAGATTAAGCTGTGTGCTGCTGCTTCGGTTCATAGGGCTTCATATTTTCAAATTATGAGTATTCTTATGATTTAAGAAAATAGAAAAGGATGGTATTGACACACAAAACCAGATGAGACAATTAAAATAAAAAAAACTGGGATATGTACTGGGAAAAAAGCAGTGGATGACTGTAGCTGAGGTGATAGGTTCTGAAAGATAACATTTGGAGGATGAGGAAAAGCACAGAACACCACCAAATTGCTGTCAAGGCTGCAGATGAAGTAAATTACAGGTGAGTTTTGGGTCCATCTTCCTGTTTGCTCCCAGCTTTGTGTACAAATGATATGATKTAAAGCATTTCATRTTTCAATGKAGTTGAATTTGAAGKTTYTKGGTAGGATAAAAACCYCCAAACAAACAAAACCCAGCTTTTTGCTCTAAAGACACCCTTTGGTCGTGTGCACTGCTCTGCCTGAGGTGGGAGTGAGGAGCTGCAGGTCTGACTGGGTCAAGTGAATGAATGTCACATAAACAGAGACATAACCCCGTGTTTTTGCTTTTTTTGCTTTCAGATTTAACAAACCAGGTGGAGACAGCCGGCCTGCAGCTGCAGAAGGTGACAGCAGAGATGGACCACTACAAGAAGCTTTTATTGTAAGATTCCCATTTCTTGATTGCTTCCCACTGCACATAAAGCACATCAGTCACCTTTTTTGCCATCAAGTGCTGCTTGTCACAATCATCTGAGAAGGTTTTGACCAAAAGGAACCATTTGATCTTCATATTATCATTTCTAAACACCTGGCTATGGGAGCAGGGCTTCCTTCCTCCAGCTGGGATTAATGAACTGCAGAGGAGGGATCATGAGCCTGATCCTGGCCTAACACACAGGTGTAGGATGTGTTTTGGGAAATCCACATAACTTCGGGATTAAAACTGTGTGTGGAAAGTATTGTGTAGTGATGGGGCAAGGGGGAATGGCTTCCTACTGCCAGAGGGGAATACTGGGAAGGAAATGTTCCCTGGGAGGGTGGGGAGGCCCTGGCACAGRTTTTCCAGGGAATTTGTGGCTGCCCCTGGATCCCTGAAAGTGTCTAAGGTCAGGCTGGACAGGTCTTAGAGCCAGCCAGGGATAGTGGAAGGTGTCCCTGCCCATGGGACTTTAAGGTCCCTTCCAAACCAAAGCATTCCAGGATTTTCTCACATTCCCAGAGCACTCCACAGAGCCCCTCAGAACACTCCCATAGCTGGAGCCTGACATCCCAACACCACCCAAATCCTATTGAAAACCTCAGAGAGGCATTGGAGCAGTTTGGGAACATCATCTGCAGGAGAATTCAGAGGGAAGGGGGCAGAGGATGCTGAACAGGCTCAGGCCCTGCTCCAGAGATGGAGTTCATGCCCATCTCTGACCAACCATCATYGCTCTTTCCCCACATTTTCCTGAAACTGAAGTGAAGGAATTTGAATTTGTGCAGTTCTGCTCTGCACTTTCTGGTTTCAGTTCCTGTATTCAGGGGGTCTGACCATCACCAAGTTGCAAATATTTGGGATGCTTAGCAACAAAGTACTTTAGTGATAATGTAAGGATTGAGTGGGAGACGAAGATGTCGTGAACACAGTTAAATAAACACTGAGRGCTTTCCAAGTGTAAATTAAAATTTCAGTATAATATGGCCACAATTTAATAAAACAACATAGTCTATATCTGTTTAAATGTAAATATGAAGCTTAACCATGGTTATTAATTGGTGAAATGATGACATAATGACACGAAACCTGCAAAGTTTCCAGCCCTTTTACCTACTAAATTGGGATTTGTTCCATTTTTTGCATTTATTACTCAAACAGTCATCAGTGTTGCAAGATCTCACTTCTTGTTCACAATGTTTGTGATCTGGGTCAGGCTGAGATGACACTGCAAGTGTAACTTCCAATTATTAACACTCTTTGCTAGAGCTGACAGAACTTTCTGTTTGTGCCTTTTTACCTGAAATGGAAAATACAACTTGGAAAATAYATCCAGAAGTGATGTCCAGGCTGCTGCAGCAGTAAAGGCTCATTTCCTTGGATAATACCCTTTCTTTCAATGTTTTTTTTAGGGTGAAGTCAGCAGAACTTGATGTCTGCCAGAATGAACTGAAAAAGATCAAATATGAAAATGGAATTGCTGAGGCCAGGTAAATGCTGAAATGATATTCCATAATCTGTATTTTTGAGCAGTGAGAGCAGAAAATTTAATTATATTWATGCCATTTTTATTCAATTAATTTAATTTTTTTTTCCGTCAAGTCAATTAATTTTACTTTATAAAGAATTTGTGGGGTTTTGACCAATATTTTATTTTGCAGACATTATTTCTGACTGTAAATAAGAATAGCTACAATGCTGCCACTTCTTTATTTCATCTGTAGACTTACAAAAGAGCTGAAGGAAAAGGARGAATCCCTTCTCATTTGCCAACAAGTCTGCAAACATTTACAGGAGGAAGTGGCTGAGAAAGAGAGGAAAGAAGAAGATCTGAAAAGAAGAACTGGGAGATCAGAGAGTGAGCTGGAAGCCCTTAAAGCTCTCCTGAGCCAAGCAGAGCAGGAGGTGCTGATGCTGAAACAGGAAAGGTAAAGGGAGATGAGCTGCACTCAGCTTCTCCTCAAAATTGTGGCAATTTGGGAAATCACTGGATTGGGTTTTTAAATTATTAGGGGATAGACAAAACTTGAATGGAAGAGAAAAATAAAAGCACTGTAAAAAAACAGGAGTAGAAAAGTTCTGCTTGGACTGCAGAGCTTCAGCTTGAGTTTAATCCAAACCCCAAGGCCCCATTTCTTGCAGCTGTTCCAGCTGTGCTAAAGGTGCAGGGAAAATAYTCAAAGCCCTGAAATACAGAACAGTTGGTGCCTCCTGGCACTTCTAAATGCTGAAAACCAGCCTGTGGTTGTCAGGCATAAAACTGGATATGGAGATTCTGCTGCAGGTAATTAAACTATGGATTCAGGTTGGTGAGTCCAAAGCAAAAGCTCTCCAGCTCGATCCCATTCCAGGGAAAACAGCCCTCAGAAGCTCAGTGCTTTGTTTTCCACATCTGCAAAGCAATTCCAGGGACAAGGGCAGCTTTGTTCCCAGCTGAGACCCTYGGGAGGCAGCCTGAACTGGTGGGAAGCTGCTCTCACACCTCCCCAAGTCCCAGATCCTGTCCAAGGACCTGACTGAGAATACTGATGGGTTTTTGTGGTGGAAAAGTTGTTACAAACATCAATTACAGGAATTCAGCCTCTCTAGGAGCCTTGCCCTACAAGCCCCACGTAACAAACAGTAACAGAAACCCAGTGGTTTTCATTCCAAACCTATTAGAATTTTTTAATTAATGATCCTCATATTCCAAGTTCATGAAATACAATTTCTACTTGGAATATCTTAAGTATCTCTGTGTTCTTTTTAATTTGTCTTGACAAATATCAAAGAAATATTAAAATATTGTTGGAAGTGGGAGATCAACTACAGTATTTCCTTTAAAAGATAAAACTGAGGAAGCAAGTGAGGGCATTGTGCAGATTGTGAGTGGCAACTCCTGCCGTGCCTCCAGGCAGGATTCCTGGGATTTGTTGCATGAAATACTGAACAAAAGGGAAAGGACAGCGGGATTTCATTGTAGGGAGATGGAATTGCAGGCAGAGCTGGGTTTGTAGCCAGTTTGTGTGTTTTTAGGGAGCTGCTGCTGGTGTCCCAGCAGAGCAGGACGGAGCAGCTGCAGGAGGCGCTGAGGCAGAGGGTGCGCAGCGAGGACTCCTGGAGGGACAAGGTAACCYGGGGGGCTCTGCTTTGGGGCTTTTCAGTTCCACCAAGAGCACAGGAAAGCACAGAATGATCTCCTCAAGGGCCACGTGKGATGGAGTCGTGGAATCATACACAGACTGAGCCAGAAATTCTGTCAGGAACACGYAAATCTTGTTTGCCTGTGACCTCGGGGTCTGCTGAGGCCTCAAACCCAGAAATTCACAGGGAAGGGTTTGTTTTGGGGAACCCTCCTAATTCCAAAAAGACATTTCATGTGTGCTGAAGTTCATGGAATCACAAAATCCCAGAGKGGTTGGGGTGGGAGGGACCTCAAAGCCCATCCAGTGTCACCCCTGCTGTGACAGGGACACTTTTCACTGTCCCAGGGAGCTCCCAGCCCCATCTGGGCACTCCCAGGGATCCAGGGGCACCCAAAGCTCACCCACAGTGTCCTTTGAGGAGTTCTCCTGCCAGACTCTTGCAGTGGCATTTGGGAAGCTGTTTCCTATAAACAACTGTCACCATGTCAACTGTGCTTTCACCTGCAGCTTTTTTCCCACTAGCACCAAAAAATCCTGAACTGAATAAGAAATAAAAATAGATTTATATATTAAAGACAATTAAAAAATTAAAATACATTTATCTATTAAAGAGAATAAGAAGCTAAAATAAATGTATATATCTGTGAAGGAAAATTTAAAAGCAGAGCTGAGCAATAACTGTGACTTGTCTGATTTAATTCTCACATATCTAAAATGAAAATGAAATAAATGAAAGCTTTATTTAGTCCCAGGAAAATCTGGGGACTGGTAGCAGTTAGGATCAGTTACATTTCCTTGCAAACACCTTCATTTCCATGGATATGAMATGGATATAATTTGGGAAGGGGATCACGCTGGCTCCATAATCACAGAGCATTTTCAGCCATGAATAAATTCCTCCTGAAAAGATGGATGCAAACATTTATATTCTGGATTTTTCAAATATTAATTAATGAGGGGCATGTAAATGAGTTTAAATCRATAGTTACCATTGTGCTTTCTTGGAACATCAAATTCCACTTTATTTCCCATTCTGGTTCYCAGCTTTATTAAATGTGCAATGTTGATGTAAATGAGCTCAAGTTTTTACACTGCCTTTATCTGTTTAGTTTTTGAAGTCAAGCAGCCTCCAAAAAGTGATCTGGATCTGTAAAAATAGGTAGAGTTTATAAATTTGGGGATTTATGTTCAGAATCTCAACTACTGTCTAAAAATAGAGAAAAAAAATAATAATAAGGAGAAGAAAAAGAAGAAGAAAAAGAAAATCAGTACGAGTCCACTTTCAGCATCTTAAAAATACACCAATTTTTAAGCTAAACCTTAGTGGGAGACTCGTACATCTTCCACACCCAGAACTGGGTACATTTTGGTTTAAAAAAGAATTAAAACATTTCCAGTTTATCTTTTTCCCCTAAAGACTTCAGGGAGATTTATTATACTTCTGCTCATAATTAATGTGTGAAATTAGATAATTGTAATTAAGCTCATTGCGGGCTTTCCTGCTTTTAATAATTTGAAATAATGAGGTTTGTGTTGCACATTTAATGTGCCTGTTGTGCTCTCAGCCTGCTGCAATTAAATCCATTAGAACACAGCCTGCACAAGGGGAATGGGAACACCCTGGGTTAGAGAAAAGATTTTCCTAAATGCAGCTTTCAGTGTTTCCTCCAGAATCCAGGCTCTTCTGTTGGGGAAATCATGGCTGAATTTCCAAATTTGGATTTGTAATGTGAATTAYTGGAGATACTGGAAGGACTGGGATGTTGTACCCAATATTCCAGCCTGGAGAARAAAAGGGTCTGGGAAGGCCTAAACTCCAGGGCCTGAAGGGGCTCCAGGAGAGCTGGAGAGGGACTGGGGACAAGGGATGGAGGGACAGGACACAGGGAATGGGGTCACACTGCCAGAGGACAGGGATGGATGGGATTTTGGGATGGAATTGTTCCCTGTAGGGTGGGCAGGCCCTGGCACAGGGTGCCCAGAGCAGCTGTGGCTGCCCCTGATCCCTGGCAGTGCCCAAGGCCAGGCTGGACATTGGGGCTGGAGCACTCAGGGGGCCCTGGGTGGGATTTGAGGTCCCTCCCATCCCAAACCTGTCTGACAATGTCCCTGAAACCCTCCTGTCTCCAGCTGGAAACAGAYCTGGCCAAAGGGGAGGCTCGGCACAAAGAAGCGATTCTGAAAGTCAGGGAAGAAGCCAGAGTGGAGCTGGACCTGGAGAGACAAAAACAGCAGGAGCTGATCACAAAATATCAGAGAGAGCACGAGGAGCTCCAGCACAAGGTGGGCAATGCTCAAGAGAAAACTTGTGGCAGAAGATGAAAGAAAACTATAAAAAAAAGGGAATGTGAGGGAATAAAACCTATTATCCCCTATCCTGGATGATACAATGCTTTTTCCCAGTCTTAGTATATTTTTTAAAATGGAACAGGCTGAAAATAACTACTCCAGTTCAATGTAAATGGTATGGAAGTTCTTTGTCATCTCATATTTTCACCACCAAAACTCCATCTGTATCCCCAGACTAGTAGTTAATGATATTTAATCTGACATCATCATTTTTTAAAAGCTTGGGACTGTTTCAGGCTATGATGAGGTGCCACAAACTCACCCCCATTTTTTCCTTGTCCCAAATGAGCCCAGCAGCTCTGGGCTGGACTGGCACCACACGGGGTTGGGAGCTGCAGATGCCCCTCCAGTTTTATACAGAAATCAAGACATTGTACCTGTAACCTGAGTTTTCAGAAGGTTTGACACAATTCCTGAGAAATCTGGAAAATAAAAAGGAATGTTATGAGGTCTTTTAAAATCTGGGACATTGTGCAGCGGTTTAGAGCTAAAATAAGTTTGGCTTTGTTCACTTGACAAATATTTAACCATGRTTTCTGAACCCTGAGGAAACACTGRCTTGCAGTAAATTTAACTTGAAGTTAAATTTTCCCATTTTTACCTCAATGTCTCTGATCTTGAACACATTAATTAATCCCTGTGTTCTCAGTGAGTGTTGATTAATTTGCAGCTCTCTGGTGTCCTCTGAGGGCGTTATGTAAACTCAGAGCATTTTTTTCTCTCTGAGGACCTGTAAGTTTGAATTTGTTGGTTTTTTCCTCAAGTCAACATTTGTCTGCTATTAATTCTCCATATTTAGAGGTACTGAATGAGATTAATTCCTGTCTGATGTCACCCAGATCCCAGGTTTAATATCCAGTGCCACCAAGAGCTTGAGGATGGAGACAGAAATTCTGGAGAAGAAGCTCCAAGAGGCCCAGATCAAACTGGCAGAGAAAGATGGAGACAAGGAGAAAGAAATCCAGAGCCTTAAAAGGCTCATCAGYGAACTTGAATTCCAGCTGACCATGGAGAAGAGCAACAATGAATCATTCCTGGACAAACTGAGGAAAGAAATTAAGCACAAGTCAGATGAACTGGAAAAATTAACCCAGGAGAAGACACAGCTGATTCACAGTTTGAGTCAAGTTCAAGAGGAGGTAGGAACATGACCCAGGAGATGCCTGGGTATTTTTACTTGGACACATGTGATTTCTAAAATCAGTCAGAGTTGTGTGTTTCAGACCAGAAAATCCATTGACATGCAAAGATTTCTCAAATCCATCATAATTTCCTAAATGTGGTAGATCACARAAGATGGGAAGTTTTAATTCAGTAATTGATAGGAAAATACAACTATTTTTCAGGTCCTGCAAGGCCTTTCTTGGTYTGTAGCCTCATGTCCCACTGCCCAAAAAGAGTAAACAACCAAGAATTCCCAGTTTTTAGAGTAGAAGGCACAGATATTTCTCATTCCTTGAACTGGTGTCCCAGCTCCATCAGTGCAGGGATGTTCCCTAACTCAGGAATGTATAAAAATGAATTAAATACAGAGAAATTTGACTGACCACAAGCATTTGCTGAATGTTTGGAATATAATGGGAAGGGAGGAGAGAGCTGCTCCATGAGAGATGTGGAGTCAGGGACTGGAGATAAGATTAGGCTGGAATGTCCAAAACAGTTCAGTGGCAGGAAAATAAATTGGCCAACAGTGAAAATAAAACTCTTCTAAATGAATGAGTGCCAGGGTTGGTAGGGATCTGTTCCTTGGAAAGGTGTGAGTGGAATTAGAGGGAGGCTGTGCCCAGTCTGTGCCCGATCCAGGATGGGGCCATGGGATGGAGGGACCTTGGCAGTGCTGGGGCAGCAGGGGGACTCCACGGCCTTTCCTGAGTGATTCCACACCCGTACCTGGCTCCAGCATCCATAATTCCATCCAGATGAGCTCTCCCACTGCACAGGGTTTCAGGGACCCTCGCTGTCCCTGCAGCTCRGTGCGTTGCCTTTCCTTCCCAAGAGTGGCATTCCCAATGCTCCCGGCTGGGCAGGAGAGCAGGAATACCCTGAGCCCTTCCCTGGGATTCCTGATAAATCCCAGGGGAATGCTCAGGGCTTCCTGAGGGAATGGAAGGA